GAGGCGATGCGGCGGGCGCAGTCGATGGTGCTGGCGCTCGACAACGACAACGCGAGCCTTGGAGGACCATGCGGAGCTGCTTGCTTCTCGGGTACTCGCCATGGGGCAAGCGCATCACACATCTCATGACACGGATTGCCGAGGCCGCCACCGCACTGCACGACATGGGCAGCACAGTCGCCTTCACAGCTAACGCCGTCGGGCTCGAGGGCTTCTGCATCGTGCTCTTCGTCTATGGCACGGAGCACGCCTACCATGGTCTCCACACCAAGTGAGGACGCTGCTTTGCTTTATCTCTTGTTTCATTATATTATTACAAATTTATCGTTTGCTGGAGTGAGGAGGACCTGGCCATGCCGCCATGGAGGAGAACGAGCTCCAGCCTCCAGCTGCTGCTGCTGCTGCTGCTGCTGCCACCAAGGGTAGGCAGAGGAGGAAGATCCTGCCGTGGCCGAGAGTACTCCGCCAGAACTAACTGCCAAGAGACTGCATGTTCCTCTAAGAGGACGAAGATGATCCTACTCTGCAGTTGCCAATTGAGTCTTGGCCTGCTTTCTCTTCTCATTCGTATGTGCATCAGTGCATGTGCCTTTGTGGAAACAAATCGTGATCAATAGAGATTGGTATCTTTTCCATTTGTACGGAAAATTAGAAGAGATACTCTTCAATATTTGCAGTGGTAATAACTGAATGGCAGAACGGAGTATCTTAACACAGTGAGCAATTATTAAATTGGAATGCGTCAAAAGCAAGCCCACATCGTTGCAGTTTTTTGGGCTGCAGGCAAGCTCACAGTTGAGCTCAGCTCCGCTCTGCTCTGCTCTGCTCTGCTTTACACTCTCCCTCACTAACATACATGTTTTGGTTGGCACTAAAAAGTAATTAATAAGCATCCATGTTACACTGCGTCACTGTGTGTGGACAATCTGTGACCAATTTATTTGCAAGCAACAAGGAGCTCCTAGCTGACTTGTGCTTTATGCTAAGGTTATAGGTAGTTTTTCATTCTGTAAGAATTCATACACAGTTAGAAAAAAAACTAAATGCCTCAGCCTAGAAGTTTCTGTGGATTCGTGTACATTGATAGAGACCCAATGATAGTTTTGTTTGAGATCACACATGGGCACTCTCATATTTGCTTCCTTGCATTGTTGCAAATACCAAATAATTATGCTCTATGGAAATTCTTACATGGATTCTATTACCTTTATGAATACAGTGGCTTCCTCTATTAAAGCATGGACTTTGTTGTTCAACACTCGACTCTTATTTTCAGGCTACAGCGAGGAACATTCTCTCAGCTGAAATGCAGAACCTCTCTAAGTTTTGAGGATGGATCTATGTATGGCTCACTGCTCGTATCTATCTACGCAGTGAGGGTTAGAAAAATCTTGAATTGCTAGAATCCTGCAAATTATTTTTTTACTTGTGGATTAGTAAAATAAGTAGCAAGTAGCCTATCATGCTTTCAGAAACAGAAAGCAGAAGAACTACTCCAGTGACTAAATGGATTCATAAAACAAAGGAAAATCGATCAAGTTAGCTGCAGCCTTGCATAATGTTGTCAATTTTCTAAGAGCACAAGAAAGATATCCAAGTAGTGAGATTCCTGCAGCATGATTTAGGCCCCCATGATAAAATAAGTAGCACATATCTAACATGAGATGACCTCTTATCATATTGTATCCTTGATTACTATGGTTATGTTTTTTTTCCACAAATTTAGCCAGTTTGTTGCAAGAAAAGACGTTCTTGACAGAATTTGTTTGGCCATTGATATTAATAGAAAGATGGTTCTGCACTCGGAAATGGCATGGTCAAATGTTAGAACATTCCCCAAACAATTTTGCTGGACTTTGAATTCATTCAGACGGTGACCTCACGTTCACATTATTGTGTGCCTGCCCAATTATTTGAAGGGTCAATCCTCCTCTTTATTTATTTCATTCAGGAATCCTATTCCTATGGACGATCGGACGGACTATGGTTGATCACGTGGTCTCCCCATCCTTTTATTATTAATATTAATATTAATAAATATGCTATCATCGAGTAGTAGCATCTTATTTGCCTGCGCCGCGCCGTGACGACAGTTGACAGGAGAGGAGAGATGTAGTAACCAGAGGGCAGGAGAGACAACGACATGACCACCAGACCAAAGATTCTGCTGGTCCGGGCCCACAACGCAGCAGCCGACACCAGAAGGGATCTCCATCTCCATCTCATCGTTGAAGTGGCTGGACTTTTTTAATTGTTTTGGTGGAAAATGGATATCTGCCTGCGCAGACGCAATGACGACAGTTGACAGGAGAGGAGAGATGTAGTAACCAGAGGGCAGGAGAGACAACGACATGACCACCAGACCAAAGATTCTGCTGGTCCGGGCCCACAACGCAGCAGCCGACACCAGAAGGGATCTCCATCTCCATCTCCATCTCATCGTTGAAGTGGCTGGCTACCATTAATTGTTTTGTAAGCCAAATGGATGCATGGTGACCACAACCAGACTCCAATCCCTGCTTAGGCCCCGTTTAGATCAATTTTTTTTTGGATTTTAGCTACTATAGTATTTTCGTTTGTATTTGACAATTAGTGTCTAATTATAGACTAATTAGGTTCAAAAGTTTCGTCTCGCGATTTCTCACCCAACTGTGCAATTAGTTTTTTTCGTCTACATTTAGTACTCAATACATGTGCCACAAGATTCGATGTGACGGGTACTGCGCAAAATTTTTTGGAATGCCTTACTAGTACTACTACGGTGTAGAGTAGTGTTTTAGCACATACTGCAAATTAATGGTGTAACTAAAAGATTCGGATCCAAATCTTCTCACCGATATGGTACTGTACTTGTGCTAGGGCTACGGTGATTATATATATTAGTATACAAACTGTGTAACTAAAATTCAATCATGAGGAGAGAACATTCCACTCCATTCTTACGACACCTTTAATTTGGGCATGCGACTTTTTGAAAACATCTAGTTTTTTTTTATTATTATTATACCATGCTCGCAAATTTTTTAATATAGGAGACAAAACTTTCACCAAGGTTTTTTTTTAATAAAGGATCTAAAATTTTCACCTAGCTGTGGATTAGACAAAGACAATCTCTTGAAGAAATTCTGATCCGTCATCCATGCGTGGATGGATGACAAACGCCAAAATGCATTTCTTGGTCCCTCGGTTGGTCTGGACTGGGCTCATCTCAACGTTTCGGCCTCATCGCTCCGCCCTTTTAATAAATGCTGGGCTGGGCTGGGTTCTGAGACATGGGCACTCATGTGAGTACCTCTGCAGATATAAAGCTATGTTTCGGCAATTCGACCGAGCCAGCAAAGTTTTCCTGCAAAGGAATCACCAAACAGCCTTGCAACCTGCATTGTTTTGTAAGAAGAAAACAACAGATTTAAAGAGACACGGTAAGATACTGACGCAGTTAAGCCGCGATTGGTCGGACGATTCGGTGAGCGCGCGGCTCGTTGTCCTTCGCCCCGGCACCCTCGCTACCCTCGCCCCTACCTCGCCAGTTCTGCCGCCGCCCCACCCAACCACGAGACCTCCCAGCGCCTCGGCCACCCTGCCTCCCTCGCCCTTCCACTATCTCCACTGTTGGTTGGTGGTGCCTCGCTGCGCCGCCCACCTCCCACCACTGCCCCTCGATCCCGCCCTCCCCTAATCACAGGGTCATCGGAGACTCCTCAGTACTTGCGCCGTGACTCCTCCACCGCCAGCCCCATCCAACCGCCGTCTCCCACCGCTCCGTGTGGGCTATGCCCTGCCCTACCACTGTCTCGCCCACCACCACCGCCATGTCGTGACCGCTACCCCCCTCCCCGGCCCCTTTCTACAATCGTCGGTGATTGGATCCCCAACTCACGAACCCTAACGCCGGCGGCAGCGTAATGGGCTCCTGGGCCATGGGTACGCGTCATCCATGTTCCGCGCAATGGGTCGCGAAGTAGACTTTGCGGACTACTATATTACTATCTAGTCTAGTCTAGTTAAAAAGAGTTAGTCTAGGTAATAATTAAATATTTTAAGGGCAATCAACACTTGATTTTTTGCTCTTAGATCGAGAATAAAGAGCTAAAATCAAATCTTCCTCTCTCTCTCTCTCTCTCTCTCTCTCTCTTCCTTCCCTTCTTCTCCCTCTGTCCATATCTAGATGACCCCAACCTTGCTTGACCTCGACACCGCACGCCGCTCGTCCCCACCGCCTCCCTGCTTGGCTTCGGCGGCTCTGCACCGCTGAATCCATCGTTGTCTTCATCTCCCACTGAGCACTCGCCCGGCTCCGGCGGTGCCCTGCCGCTTCTGCTGTCGCCAATGACTGTTGCTGTTCGAAAGGCGATCTCCGTCAAACCCTAATCCTTATCTCTCCCAACCGACTCCACCACTACCTTGCTACACACTGCCCCCCATGCTCACCACCACCGTCGGGCGGTCCTTCTCCCCTGGCAATCTTTTTTAAGCTCCCGAATTTAGGTAAGCTCTGAACCTTAATCCTTACCTTGATAGAGTTGGGGAAGAAGGCCATGTGGCATCCTTGAATTGGGTAGAAAAAATCAAGTCAGAGATGGCCTTGAATCACTTGAGAGTGAATTTTAGCTTTGCCGGAAAGAAGAAGACTACTACTACTACTACCATTCACAGACTTGCGATTACTACAACTTTTGAAAGTTGAAGCCTTAATGATGAAGAAAAAGAAAACGACTAGGCTTCTGACGTTTCTGAATAGATAGATAGATTGCATTCAGGTCGTTTGAGGCAGCAAACCAAATGTTAAATGAAATTTAGGCCTCTGTTAGTGTAATAATATGTATACTTGATGTGAACAATGTACATTGGACATCAAGACTAGTATGTTATGTAGGGGTATAATACAGGGACTAGTGGAACTTTGGAGGGATGTTAAGGTGATTTTTTTTTGCCTATTAATCTATCATATCATGTTCAGATACGGTGATGATCTTTGGCAGTAACAATCTTGTTCATCATCAAGGTTTTTGCTTGACGGCATGCGCGTGGAGGGGATTGTGCTCGTCCATCCTGGCCTCCATCAGCTTCTCCTTGAGGCTCTGCTTCTGCTTGCCTCCCCCTCCCCGCTGCGGCGGCAGTGGCAATCCGGAGCCGCTTGACGAGCTGCACTGCTCGCCTGCAACGGCTGGAGGAGGAGGAGGAGGAGGCCCTTCCGCGGTCACGCACGACCTCCTCCTGTCCGCCGAATAAGACGGCGACCAGCCGCCACCGTCGGCAGCTGTCCTCCCGGTCTTCTTCCTGCTCTCGGTGATGGCCGACCTCCAGAGCCTGCGTATGAGCGCCGTGTTTTTAGTCGAACGGCGGCTGGCGCCTGACGAACGAGCCTCCGTCGTCACCCCGCTGCCGGCGCCGTTGATATTGGCCACGGAAGCTGAGCGGTCGCTGGTCCCGACCCAGCTGCAGGAATCCATCTCCAGGTCGGCCGAGCTGCCGCCGTCGGCGTACATGTCGTCGTCGTCATTGGCCTTGGCCAAGAAGAGGTCGGTGGCGGGGCTGACGGACTGCAACATGTCGCTGGATTTGGACGACGCGGGGCTCGCCGGGCTGCTGCTGTACCTGCGCCCGTCGTCGTCCCTTTCCCTCTCCGCAGCGGCATGATGGTGCCTTTCCCTTTCCTTGCGTCGGAAGTGGTCCAGCACCGAGTCCGCATCCACCGAGTCCACCGGATGATGGTGGTGGTGGTGGTTCTCTCCGCTCTGCCTCGACCTCACCACAGAGGAGCTCGTGGCGGCGGCGGCGTCGCTGATGAGGCGCGCCTCCCGCAGCGCGGCGGAGTGGGAGGCGGACTCGTCGTCCTTGCTGCGGAGGAAGGCCTCCATCTCCGCCTGCAGGCGGTTGAGGTGCGTGTACTTGTTCTCCAGCGCGAGCTTGGCGTCGGAGAGCTTCATCTGCACGCGCTCCTCCCGCCACACCTCGGCCATCTGCAGCATCCGTCGCTCCTCCTCCATCTCCTCCCGCATGCGCAGGCACTCCCGGCGGAGCAGCTCCACCTCGGCCTGGTCCTCCTCCACCTCCCGGGTGAGCTCGGAGCAGGCGTCCTCCATCAGCTCCCGCGCCTTGCGCTCCATCTCGTAGCTCTGCGCCTGCTGCTTCGCCGACGCCCGCGCCTCCGCCAGGTCGCGCAGCAGCCTGGCGTTGGCCTGCTCCAGCTGCCGCCGGTGCCTCCGCTCCGCGCCGAGCTCGTCCCGCAGGGCGGCCACGGCGTGGCGGGCCTTGTCCCGGACCCGGGCCTTCCACGCCGCCTTCTCCTCGGCCAGCTTCCGCAGGAACCGCTCCAGCCGCTTGGTCATGACGCGCCGCTCGTCCTCCAGCTCCCTGACGTGGCCTCGCGCCTTCTCCAGCTCAGCCTCCATCAGTAGCAGCAGAGGGGAGGTCGACGGCGAGGCGAAGAAGATGTCGTCCAGCTGGAGTCCCCGTGCCCTTCCCCTCAAATGCAAATGGTTGGCGTCCCATTTGGTGGCCTTCTCCATGGACGACGAGCCGTATGCGGCTGGACACTCCACGCACGCGTCGATCTGATGCGATGCAGTCAATGAGGTGATCTGCTCCATGGTGAATGGAAGATGGTGGGGATGGTACCTTGTCTAAGATGCTGCCGTTCCTACATCGGCAATGGGTTTCGGCAGCGAGATGATCTGCTCGCCTTTTGTTGCCATAGCAGAGGTGGCTTGCAGGCCTCCTCCGGCTCCGTCCCTTGTTGAGCTTCTGCTGGCAACAGACAAGCATGGCAAAAATCAGTCTTCATTCATCTTCCGGAAACAGAAATGCCATCTCCAAAAAGCATTATGCAGACATTTTGGGTTAATAATCGAATGGAGTATCATGGGGATGGGGCAGGTACAAACAGAAACAGAGTGCTCTGCTTCAAATGGAATACGTACTAGTCATCTGCAGCAATCTTTTTGTTTTCCCCATTATTAATCAAATCCTGGATGCTATGCTAACAGATGTGCCGAACATGCGTGCCTAATGATCCAACCCCCAGAATCACTTATATAGGAAGGGTAATATAGAAAGGAAAAAGGGGCATCTTTGGGATGATCAGTCAAAAAAGGAAGCAGCTTTTGGCCAGAAATCAGAATGCTCACCGACCCCATTTCCCATGTTCTCATTTAAAGTTGTGGTGACGAACAATCCAAAAAGGAAGCAGCAATAGAAGGATCCATGGAACAGGCACATATCCGGCAAAGAGGCAAAGATCAAGAGGGCGACAACACAAATCAGGCAAGAAACCAAACCAGGGAGAGGGACAGGATCACAGCAGCAGACAGTGCATGGAGAGGGAACGGAATGGATCATCCATTCCATGATTCATCAAGTGGGAGGCACCGCACAGCACAGGCACATACCGGTTGCGTTTGGGCGGCGTGCGCCGGCGAGGCCCCGCCGCCATCATCCGCTCGGCGTGGCGCAGCCTCCAGAGACCGTCGGCGAGGACCCTGGCGGAGGCGGCGGCGGCGCTTCCCCTGACAGAGGCAGAGGCGGCATTGCGGGGACGCCTCCTCTGGGAGGTCCGGCGGCGAGGGGTGGCGGAGGAGGGGATCATGGGACGATCATGGTCATGGCCTCCTGCCGCATGGAGACGAGAGAGAAAGAGAGGCTTGGTTCGTTCGTTGGAGCGATGGAGTTATTGATGGCAATCTGATGTGGTTGGTTTGCATGCGCATGTGACTTGTCATGTGTGGCGTGAGACCCAGCGCCGCATCACGAGGAAGAGGAACCCCATCGCCATCGCCCCCATCGCCAAGGGGAGAAGAACTATTCCAGGAGAGAGAGAGAGAGAGAGAGCGACATCAAGAAAAGGGAGATTAGAATAGATGATACGGAGTAGGAGGAGTAGATCTCTCGCGCGCGTTGATAACACGATCCAGTGACTGCTGTTGCTATCCTATCCCCTGCTGCCATTCTAGTCTCTGTCTTCTACTTGATAGGAGCAGATAGATTCGTTCATTCTCCGCTCCGGTCAGCAGCACCAGCAATGCCCGCCCTTTCTCTTCTTGCCATGCCATGCTATGCTTGTCCACTCATTCTTCTCCTGTTTATTATACTACCTCTCTCCAAAAAGATGCAATTTTAGCTTTTAGGTTGATTCAAATTCCTTTAAGTTTGACTAAGCTTATATAAAATGTTTTTAACATTTATGACTCAGAATAGGTGTACTATGACAATATATTCTATCTAATGGTACTTATTTGTTATTATTATAAATGTTAGCAATTTTTATACAAATTTGATCAAACTTAAAACTGTCCGAGAGGCAAGAATTACATCATTTAATTTCTTGCTTAATTAAGCACATGCATCGGAATTATGCAACCTATGATTGTGAAATGTGATGTGATGGCTATGGGTGATTGCAGCGACAGACTTGGTTGGATGGATGCGTGGAAACTGTACCAGACCAACGTCTGATTTGGATGCATTCATCTGTCCTCCAAAATATTCCAATCAGGCTGTAGTACTGTCAAGCAAACTGATCTGATATGAAATTTGGAGGGCATTGGGGCAATGAGTAAGGCTGAATTCTAGCTCAAAACAACAAGGTTTCTCCCATGATGACATATAGTACCCCTCTATATATTTGAATGTAAGGATGACGCCATGAATCCAAGAATCAAGAAAGTTACTTTACCTCTTTGGGTGTGCTGCTGACCTATATTATTCTAGAGCTGGCAAGTCACTAACATAAGGCCATGAATTATTATTATTTATCTTGGTGGATCACATGCGCAAGTGCCGAACGTAGGGGAGAAAATAAAAATTTAGCACCCTCGCTATATATACATGTCATTCTCTAGCTAAGCTCCGCTAGTTTAACTGAACACTAAAATTGCTCTAGTATAGTACTAGGATCAACTGGGGATGAGGAGGTTTGTACGAGAGGAACGAATGAGGTGAGTTGTGGACGGATCCAAGGAGTTGATGTTGGCCTTGAGGGGTACATCCACATCACAGGGAAATGTGGATGCTGATTAATCTATCACTACTACTATCTGAAACCACAAGCACATGGTATTTTAAACAAGTTTTTGTACCTCTGAATATCGACAGCTTCCATTGCAAGCGTGAGTAATTTTGTCTTGAAATGCTACGTCTTGAAGACAGCGAAGATGTACCCTGTACAAAAGTTGAATGACTAAATAACCTGTGACAGCAGTAACTATTGTGAAGCTCCCAACAGATGAGCCCTCCCTCTATTCTTGGTTAGATTACATATATATATACTTACATATATGTAGCAGTACTTGTAAGGTGGCTGCCGGCAGTTAGCGGTTGGTGGCTCCTCACTGTTCAGCTGTTGGCAACTTGGGCATTTCTTCTCCATTTCATTAGAAATTAGAATTAGAATGGTCTGGTCCCCCTCCTCTCCTCTCCTCTCCCCCAGGTGGGTTTCCAGATGTTGGTTGGTTGGTCCTGCAACAATTCAAATACAATACAATACAATAGAGGGGAATCAGGAAATATATGCTTCTTTAGTTTACTGCTTCTATATGATAAGACGTGCCAACTCCCTCTCTAGATGTCTCTTAACTATATAATAATATATACAAAAACAACGCAAAGGAATAGCCGTCTCCATTCCTCTTTTTTTTTTTAATAACAGTCTCCATTCTCATTGTTCAGCTGTTGGCATTCCTCTTCATTTCTCTAGATGTTTACTGGTTCAATATTGAGACAGCACCGCAGCGGACCCCAACAGCATTCAGACATTCAAATGATTCCATACACGCACAGCAAACATAACCAACTGATTTCAGTTCAGATAGACCAGAGCTAAAATAACCATTTTGTGCCATGAGGAGAAGACACCGAGCTAAAATAAAAGTAGACAATATGGGCATGTTTGGATGGGTGACCAACCCCTGGATAGACTTGCTGGGGCTAAGGGTGCGTTTAGATGCAAAAAATTTTGAGTTTTGGCTATTGTAGCACTTTCGTTTGTATTTGGCAATTAATGTCTAATTATGGACTAATTAGGTTCGAAAGTTTCGTCTCGCGATTTCTCATCCAACTATGCAATTAGTTTTTTTTCCGTCTACATTTAGTACTCCATGCATGTGCCGTAAGATTCGATGTAATGAATACTGCGTAAAATTTTTTGGGAACTAAACAGGCCCTAAGATGTGGATGTTTGGATGCCTGTTCTTGGCCCTTAGCCAGGCTTCCGCTGGCCGCCGTACAGGCCTCGGTGGCCTGGCTCCCAGAGAATGGAATTGAGATCCGTTTTTATGGAGCCTGGCCTTGCCCGCGCGTCTCGTCACCGCCCCCTCTCCCCGCCACTGGAGCGCGCCCCGACCCCGGCGGCCCTCCCACCGCCGTCTCCGGCGTCCGTTGCTGCACGAGATCCGCTGCTCCTCCTCGTCAAAGATCTCCTGGTGCTCCTCCCCGATGTAGATCCCCTGCACCCGACGCTCCAATCGCCGCCGCCTGCCGGAGATCTCCTGGTGCTCCTCCCCTCGCTCTGGTCCGTCACAGCGCCGAGGCAGGCGAGCACGAGCACCCGGAGACGCCGAGGCAGTGCGTCACGGCGACCGCGGATGGCGCTCGGCCACCGCGTCGTGGCTTGGATGCGCCGGCGAGCTCCTCTGGACCACCCCGCAGCAACGACCTCGCCCATGGTTGCCGGCCATCCCCGCCCTTGCCCGTGGCTCCACTGAATCTCGCTCGCACAGCTCCAGACGGAGTGTCTCCAGTTGCCCTCAGCTTGAAGCTCTGCTGCACACCGACGAGAACACCTACAGTCATCGCGTCCTCTTCTCAGCGAGCTGCGGCGAGTTGCTCTGAATGTCTCTCTGTTCTGAATACTCAACTGCGTCCTGTCTACTCTGAATGTATGCTTGATCTGAATGCCTGAATGTTAGCTGAAAACTCTGAAACCTGTTAGATGTTACTCTGAATGTTAGCTGCCTGAATGCTCACTGCCTCCTGTCTACTCTGAATGTCTGTTTATCTTGCACCGATGCTTCTGTAATGGTGGTCTGTCTTATCTTAATAGAAATGAAATGTGCTTCTGAAATCCTGTCTGAATGTAGTTGATGCCGAAGTTAAATTTTGTCAGGCAACCGCAACATTGAGGCTATGTTCGGGTAGCAGGTGTGATGGATGCATGTGAGCTGCGGATGTTGCACTCTCGGATTCTCCCTTGCCTCAAAGGTGGTATTTTTTTTTTAAACAATGGCAGGAGCTCTGTCTTTCAACTAAGACGAATGAAGTTTATATACAAACAAAGATAATTAAGCGTGGCGCCAAACACCACGAAAGGTTAGTTTACCCACGCAACGCGATAGAGTACACACTACCATGAGTCATCGTTGCTGAGCATGGTTGCAAAGCAGCCAGCAGCTCCGACTCCCCATGGCAAAACACCGACGACTCATCCTAAGATGTCAGACCAACGGGCCCAAAGCAGGAGGCTGCAACAGGTCATCGTTGCCGAGCTCAACAGCTCCGCGAAGAGCAGCTCCGACTTCCTGCCTTGATCCCACGCCCCGCCCGCGGCGATTACCGAGCCTCTAAAGCTGAAACCCAACCGTCGGAGGAGGGTTCGACCCGCATCATCGTTGCCGAGCTACATCCCCTGATGCAGCAACTCCGACTTCACGATGCAGAACTCGCCGTCTCGCATCAACCGAGCGCCGAGAGGTAGAGGACATCCGTCGAAGGAGACATCACGGCCGAGACGAATTTCCACAGCGACGCCTTCAGGAAGGGTACGACACCAATAGCGCCGCTGTCGCTTGTCCAGGAATGGATCGGGTTTCCACCGTGGAAGACATGGCTAGAGGCACAAGAACACGACGCCCCCAACAAGGACCGTAGCGTAAACGTCAACAGCTGCGACCACGGTGCCGAGATGCCCCTAGCACAAACGTCGAGCCAAGATGCCGAACCATAGCCTGTCGCCATCGTTGTCGTCACTGCCATCCCGCAGAAACCCCTCCGACCGGGCAACATGCAGAGCTGGACTTACCCTGCCAAAGGTGGTAAAATTACTTGTACAAAGAAGAGGTGACTCTACCCAAGCCAAACCAGTCAACCAAACACACTATTTGCTAACCATGCTTAGATGGTACATGCAGCCAAACAAGTCAATCTTGTCTTGCTAGGGATAGGCTTAAGCTAGCCTGGCTTATCTTCTAGCCAAACAGGAAACCAAACAGACCCTATGTAATGTTGAAGGGCATCAAATGATCCGTCTATCAAACTTACTTGCTAGGGCATCAATATCAAACAGACAAACACATCAATTAAACAATAAACATTGTGTTAAACAATGCTGGAATCCCAGTGTAGCTCTCCTCCACCAGACAACAAAATTCCATCCCACCAAATCCTCATGCGCATTTCGCATCTTTAGAAACATTGACGTTCTTTCTCGCTATACAGATGAATATAAATTATTACTATCATTATATTATATATATGCCTTACAACAAATTACACTAATTGCTACCAGGAGATTCAAAAAATAAAACACATGTGAACCTACAACACTTTGATGCGACCACGAGATCGCAAAAACTCAGCACTTCACTGACACTTCCAGTTAGCTCTCCTGAATAAATCATCTCCATAATAGGGCAACTGGACCTTGCTAAACTTGTACCAAGAGCACCAGAAGAAGGGAGACCAAGGAAGAAAGGAGTCTTAGCTTCAGGTTCTTGTGGTTCACGCCTGCAAAAAGGAACTCTCAGATCTTCTTGTACCTTGCCTAAACAGGGAAGTTTCATCTTGTCCTTGAGAATTAGACATATACACCAGAGATCAAAGCATAACTGAGAGAGGAGAACTAACTCCTAGTTTTCTCACCATTTTGTGCCGATGTCGCGGCAGGTCGCTCTGGGATATTGACAGCTGCATACAAAAGCACCAAATGTTACAGCAGAGAGCAGACTAACATGAAAAAAAAAGCAGACACATCCAAGCACCACAGGAGGTCCATGACACAATATAGATGGAAAGTCTTATATTTAAGCAATTAATATGTCACAAGTACTTGCCTGCACAGCTAGGCAACACCACAACAGTGCTTTAAATTCAAGATGGAAGAGTTGGGGGGTACAAGCAATTTTTACAATCTCATAGTTTATTGTTAAAAGAAATTCATACGACTAGTTATCTAATGACGAGTCTCTGTGTCGACTAGTTGAGATACATTAAAAACTGTCCTTAAGACAAGACAGAAGACTAATACGACAAGAAATTGAGCAAACAGTGAAACAAACATGGGGTATAACCCCGCAAGCAGAAAGAAAGGTGTATATTGAATCACTGAACCTGCTTCTACAACAAAATCATACATTCAGGCATCATCAGAGACAGTTTCAGCATAAATGGGGTGAAATAATCTAGTGGAATACAACAGAAGGCTTCAACTTTTAACTTCGTGATTTTTAAGTGTACAGAGTAATGTACCAAATAGCATTTAAGAGAAAACCTGAAGAAGTTGATGCGCATGTAAACAGAATTGTTAAAGAGCAAAGTATGTTCAGCACGGCAAGTAGATAGCATACACTTGTTGCACGATGAAGATGGTGCTTGCATAGAAGATGGCCATGGGGCCGCAATGTTGTCATTCAGATCACATGTGAAGCTAATCCCAGAAGTGCTGTCGAAAGATGCATCAGAGGGCATACTTGGAAGGAGGCATCCAGATTCTGTATAAAACCACGAGATCAATCACTACTAAAGAATAAAATCAGTTTCTTTTGGGTACAGCTATAACATTGATGATGTGAGCTCTAATCTAATAAGTTTGAGCATAAATTATTTTCTAACAATTAGGCAATATTGAAGAGTTAATCTGTCAGCTAGGCAGACAAAACATAAACCTACAAAGCCAGACTACAGAAGCAATTTCTCAACAAAACAAGGTAGTCAATAATAGATGTGCTTAGAATTCCAGCTCCTACATGTAGTTCTATATTATACACAATTTTGCACCCTTCGTTCTCCTAGGACTAACTGATGCTACTTATTTGAGTATTCACTGAGAACAATTTCACATTATGTGCATTGTCCAACTGTCCAAGATTATTTTCCCAATTAGGGCCTGTTTGTAGGAGTGGGATCCCTCGAGGAAAATTTGAGCTGTATAAACTCCTAGTCACCATTTCCAAACAAGCCCCTACTAGGTTGGGTCTTGGATACAAAAACAATTCCAAAAGGCGGATCCATCCAATAGTTCCTGTACTTCTACCCTGAAGATAGAATATAATGTAAACCTTTGCAAAAACTAAACAAAAAGTTCAAAAATGCAAATTCTTGACCCCAGGCTCCGGTTAATATATAGTACATGAGACAACATCTAGTACATATTGTTATATGTTTCCAAGCACTAATGCAGCAAGACATGTACAATCAATCGCATTTTGCAAGGATATAGTACTTAACAATCAGCTTAACCAGAGCATAGCATGCCGTATTGCTATAAAAAATGATTTACAACAGACACCATTAGATTAGAATAAACTAATAAAAAAACTTGAAAATGTTAGCTTACCTTGAGATCCAACTGTTTGCAAATCCAGTAGGGGCCAGCCATTCAAACACAACGGTTGAAAAGGTAAATAAATACTTCATCAGTTCAGTTGCCAAGAAATGCAGAGCCAGAAGATAAATATGGCCCTTATGCATAATCAATTGATAGTTCTTGAATAACTTACCTTGTAGTGAAAAATCTTTTAGTGTTATTTGACAAGAGCTGTAGACATTCGTGCTGACATTCATCTTTTGCAACTTTGCCCCAAGGAAAGAGGCACAATTTAAAGCTTGCAAGTTTGTTATGAAGCTTTGCTTTTGCAAATGGGCAACATAAGTTAACATAGCCTTGCAACATGCAGTACTGTTCTTCATTGTTCCGCCACACTCTTTTGCCACCTTACTTGTGTCTGGAAAGCTTAGCGGACAAACTGGAGGGATGGAGTAATAACAGGTAAAACTATTAGCACTAAACAAGTATTTAAAATTGTTATTATTAAAGAATTAAAAACATATATCCACGTATTCCACCAGGTTCACTAAAACCTATGTCCAATGAACTTTTGAAATTCAGCACCTGCACAATTACGGCTATTCAAATGTTCAATATCCTTTTGCCTCAAATAAATGTGCCAAAGCTTTTGTTCTAATCGAAATCATATATATTGCACTACACTTTTGTTCTTTAATCAAAATCATATATATTTCAGTACTATGGCACCTAATACCTTAGTGGCATATGGCTGACCTGAACACTTGAAGTCAAAAACCTTGCATTGGACTCCTATTGAGTTCAACGCTATCAATTTCAAATAGCATGAAAGAGTTCCAAATATTGCACATGGCAAGAGGAAAGTTCAAACAGCCTTATATGGATTATTCAGCTCTTTCTTTAGAGAAAAAAAAAACTAGACTTGCCGGGCGGTATACAGGCCCCAGACACTCTTTAGCCAAAAAGAAAAGCATAATGTCATTAAAGTTAAATTATCTGGCTTCAGCATTCCTTTCCTTTATAGACCTGAAAATTTTGACCTCTTCCACTCTAGTCCATGCTTCAAGTTCAAATATTTTGGTGCTTATGCAGTGTGCTCTGGCTTTAACTAAATTATGAAGTCAATATTTGGATGTAAGAACTGTTTTCTACTGCAGAAATTCAGGCAAATCAACCTGGGGCAGAGGGGGGCCAAGCACCCCCTATGCTAGATGAGTTCCTCTTATGTGCGTATAATTTTACTAATCCGTTGTTTTCCCCTGTAATAATTAATATTTTAGCACTCCCCCCTTCATCTGTAATTTCTGGCTCTTCCCCTGATGCTTGGTAAAAAGACCATAAACATGATGAGTCAATAAAATGTTGCATGAACATGGTCTGCAACATCTAGTATTTTAGAAGGTGTGGTCCGTTTTAACTATTACAGAGGAACTAGTCAAGGACTAAGCTATGAAATTGTTAACATTGTAAGTGAACTATAAATAATAGAAGTAGGGAATATATATGTATTTATTCCATCAAAACAGAAGGTAATAACTTAAGACATGGAAATCACATTTGAATTAGTTATTATAGTTTGGAAGTACCTCCATTGACGTTACAGTTAGATAGCTGCCTCAACATTTGCTTTGCGGACTGTGGGTCAAGCCTGCTTGACAACCATCTCAGAACAACATTCCTGCAACTGTCAGTCTTGGAGCTCCCAGGGTAGCTTGTCAAACCTCCATCCTTGGACGAGATTTTCTGGGCAGCTTCATTTATCGCATTCTGACACGTCTGGCTGCAGCACTCATTAACAGAGTCGATCTTCTGACAGGCCTCAAGGAGCTTGGACGAATCAACTACACTCTCAAACGAATCCACAGTGCTAACAGGGCAGGATCCCTCGGTTACATTCGAGAGGTGAACCGAGCAAAGGCTGTGGAGATTGTCGCTGGCACCTTGGCTCAACAACAGCTCCTGGACATCCGACAGGCAGTAGCTGGCTACCGTGGGATCCAATGCGAGAGACCCTGTCTGCTTGCTAGACTGCCCTATGAGGATGGTCAGTGTTGCCTGAAGCTGGGGGCAGCAGATGACATTGGCCAAGAAAGGAGCAAACGAGGTGAAGCAGTCGACAGCCGTGGTGGTTATGAGTTTGTCGACAGCGGTAAAGTTCAGTGTGCATTTCCCTGCAAAGCATCAAGGAAATCGACAGGCACTTTCAGTTGGCAGACCACAGTTGCATCTTGTTTAGTTGTAAACCAATTGCACGTACGCACTAACTTTTGAGCTCCCCCAACCATAATAACGAAGCTCGAAAAGAAAGGAAAAGTAGATTAGTGACAGAGAGTCCAACCTGAGAGCTTTGGCGTGCTGTTGTTAAAGAACGGCGCGAGTGGAGCGGGCGCCAGGAAGGGAACAAATGGCCTGGGCGAGCCGCTGGGTGAGGGTGAGAGCTCCGGCATGGGCATGAGACCGCTGGGCGGGAGCTCCGGCATGAGGCCGCTGCCGTCATTTGCCTGTGCGCGAACGATCCGGTGAAGCGGCGGCTGGCTCTGAGCAAATGCGCTGCCTGAATCGCCCCACAGCCCCTGCACACCTGCACATTATCAAGCGAAGAGCCCAAATCAGCGGGCTTTGTTGCTTGCAAGGAGAACTGACTCCCAGGCAGTGGAGAGGTAAATTCAGGAGGCAGCCGTAGCAGCCTCCCTGCGCCTGACAGATCAAAACCAACAAAGCACAGCGCAGGGAACGGAGGACCATCCGGGAGCAAGAAGAAGCAAGAGTCCAGGGCCCCGCATAGCTGCTGAAATTCGCATTTGGGGGGGAAAAAAGGAAAATAGGAGCAGGAAAGGGAAAGAATCAGAAGCTGAAGCAGAGGCAGATCACGAGGAGGTAGGCACTCACAGAGGAAGGAGAGGGCGGCTACCGCGAGGAGCCGCCCGGCCGGCGCCATAGGGTGCCGCGGCAGCCGGCGGCAGCAGTGAGCGGCGGCGAAGCGGAAGGGGAAGAAGGGGAGGGGGCGACGGCGGCGCTGTCTGCGCGAGCTCGCGAGTAGGAAGTGGAGAAAGTGGGCAGCTCGCTTTGGAAGGGGGAAGCAGGAGCACTGCGAAATTGTTTAGTACACCCGGAGAAATAGCACGTCTCTTCTCTTTCTTTCTTTGACCCCCCGCCTCTTCTTTTTTTAGTCTTCCTTTCCTTCCAGAAGAAAAAGATGGCCATATATAAATACTACTAGTAGAAGTCCAAAGTACGAGTAAACACTAAGTCAAATTTGGTTATAACTAAAGCTGCAAATAATGTTAGAGATAATTTGAAAATCTAATGATTAATATATTGAAATTGAATGTTGCAATGCTGTTCATGTTTATTCGAGGGGGTCGAGCTAGCCCATTAAAATGACGTCACATGACAACAATAGCTTTTTATAATTTCCTTTGCAAAAAATTATGTCATGGTTTAGTGGAGACGACGTCAATAACTTCTGAACATAGATCTGTCCCTGCTTATCCGTAATATTTTACGACTCAACATAAATCATAGGTTGCATGAAATGTTGGTTTGCCTCTGAACCTTAGATGCCCGAATGAAAAGGGAGAACCTAATTATAATTACTGTAAAATGGCATAGCAGCAGCTCTAGTTATAGTTATTATGATAGTTTTTTTTCATAAGAGTTATTATGGTAGTTTGAGTGAGTGATATAAGCGTGTCCATGGTGTTGAGAAATACTCAATAGCATCTGGTGGTGTACATGTGTGGAGGTGGGCGTAGCAAGGGACGGATGGGGGGTGCTCAGAAATTGATGGCGGCCCAGCCCATTTAATACGCCACATTAACGCCCTTCATTCAATCCAGCCCCTTGCCACCCTGTGCGGCAGCGGTACTCTTACATCTACATGCCTCGCTGCCAAGTGGGACTAGTAACTCTACTCTGCCCCCACCGCCTCAACTATCTCACTGACCGGTGGGACCGGATGCTGGGGCGCCGGTGGGCCCGTTCTGTCATTGCGATTGCCTCGTGGTGGGAATAAGATCCTTTGCGAGAAGAGAAAAATCAGGAGTCAACATTAGCGTGCTTGAGTGACAAGAGAAAATCGTCAACGCGCGGCGATCCATACACATAAAACTGTGCGGTGGTGCCTACCTAGCTTTGACAAATCTACATTTTCACCGAAAATGACTCTCACCTGCCTAACATGCCGGACTTTTGTGACATTACAAGACGGGTAAGATTAACTAAACGTCTATCAGGGCACTTCCAAAAAAAGAAACCAGCAGTTTCTATAATATAGGATACCACACCAAAAAAGTACTGCTTTTCAGCCCATAGTTTCTATGAATAATAATTATTTTTTCTTTCTCTCTCCCAACTCTATCTTCTTCCTCTAATGGAAGTGCGGCACAAGCCCCCTAGAAAATGGTGGTTTCTCCCCAATGGCGATTTCATGGTTTCTTGGTGCATTGAGTCAAGAGAAGACCTGATTTCTTCATGAGGAAACCATTTCTAGGATTGTTGCTCTCTTTTTTCATTAATTACGTTGTCATGTCAGCGTTTTGCCACGTAGCAAGTCATTTAATGAGGATAGAAACCATCATCAATACACCATTGGGACTGCCCTCATCCCTGTCTGTCCTCATATAAAATTAAATAAAATTAATTAAAGCCCAAGACCTCAGGCGCCACTTTGGATCATATCTTTGTTCGGGCATTTAACGATGCTCTTAAATAATAAAAATTCACATAGATTTAAATGATGTCGGATGAGAATCCGTTCTCTATTTACACTTGGCTTTTTTAAAAATATACTACTTCTCAACTGCTCTCTATTTAATGTGCACTAGAATTACTTGTTGCCTGGTCCCATCAGAGTCACGGTATCGAAAATTAAAGAGTGGAAGCTAATAATTAAGAACTTTACCAAACAGACTAGCTTTGCTAGGACAAACCATGATTTCTTCCCTCGTGCATTTCGCTTTTAACTTTGGTGGCCTCGTACCACTTGTGAGATTGGCGTAGTAAGCATTATTTGGTGCTCGCCTATAGATGCCCTGCAGAAGAAGCGGCCACACTAAAAGTACAGCGGACAAATTATATGTCAGACATTTAGCAAACTGCGATGCGAAAAATGAACTAGGCGCGTGTGATAAGGGCTAGCGGCATCACAACTCAAGGAGCAAACCAAACATGCGACTAACTTTCGGTAGGAACCTGCGACGTGATGCGGTGACCTCTGGCTGTGAACCGAACGCTTCCTAACTTACGAGGTTTTCTAACATTACTATAATGGCGTGTCTAATGTGACCAGGAATTCAAGATTTTAGATATTTGAGATGATCATAGCAGTCTGTTCGCTTGCTCATAAACGATCATAAATTTCCAGCTAAAAACAGTGTTTTTCTCTCACACCAAACCAGCCAGCAGTAAATAATCCACGATCGTTTACGGCCTCCCGAACAGGCTGCATGTCTAGTAGTTAGGTGCAAATGGTAAAAAAAAATCTGTATCATTTACATTCCTAAATACCGCAGTCAATACTTTAGATTTCTATCCCTTTTCTATGGATTCAGTTAGCGCATAGCAGAAGTGGACTCTAAAACCTTCTTTTTTTTGACAATGCAAATCGTGAGCTTTATTAATTATTAAAGACAGTTACATCATTTAGCACACACTCAAGAATAAAGCCAGGGGGCTCATCGTCCCATATACAATCAGTCTTGGTTTGCATAGCTTGCTTTGCCAACTCATTCGCTACACGGTTTGCATCTCTATTGCAATGCTCAGTAGAAATATCCTGAAAACCACTCCAAACAGTGCTAAAAACAAGCAAAGTAGAAGCCGGACGAGAAAACAGGGTGTTACGCTGACGTTTTGAATAAACTGACCAGTTAGTTTATTATTACTCTTTCGTATGCTAGATATCCGATTTTTTATGATGAGCTCCCATTTTTTTCTTTTATAAATAATAAAAGAGAGACCAAGAAGAAAGGTGCATTGCATTATTATATGTATTATACGATATACGTGAAATTGTAATTAAATTGTTTGAGCTGATCATCGTAATCACAGTGGATTCAAACAGACCTTCACAAATTCCATGCATAAAAAACGGTGATGTACGGCAAAAACAATCACCTTCAACGGACGGACGGAGGGGGCATCCGCATCTGCACGCCGTATAAAGTCCAGGTGGCAGGCAGGCAGGCAGCAGGTGGGCGGGCGGGCGTTCCGTGAACCCGACACCCGTGTCCCCGTGAGACGAGACGAAGAAAAGAGTCGCGGCGTCGGCGTCGGCGGCGGCGGCGGCGGCGGCGGAGTAGGAGCTCAACTCATCAATGCCTAGGGTTTGATCCTCCCTCCCTCCGCGCTCCGCTCGTGTTAGCCACCCAGCCCCCAACCACCCCGCCACAGCTATGGCTTCGCCGCACCCGCTCAGCTGGGCCGACGCGCCGCCCTACCACTACCACGCGACACCCCAGCTGGCGCCCGACTCCTCCGCCTCCTCCGACGGGGCCGGGGCCCGCTCGCTCTGGATCGGCGGCCTGCTGCACTGGATGGACGAGGACTACCTCTACGCCTGCTTCACCACCTCGCCCGAGGTCCGTCCCGCTCCCGCTCCCGCCCCGCCCCCCACTTCGATTCGATCAATCTACTATATATATATTGCTGTGCTGTTTGTTCGATCATCATCCGTATCCGTTTGGTGCTGGTGTGCGCGGTGCGCTTGACTTGCCCACCCAATTCGCGCTACCGTTGCGATGGGGCCTGGGGCTTCCTCAAATTCTCATGTGCTTTTTTTAAATAATCCTAGCAACTACTAGTTGTGCGTCTAGGAAGGAACACCCCCTGCATAAGCAAGCAGTCAAGTTGTGTTTTTTACTGGGAGTATTTGTTTATTCATTCTTTCTTTTCGTGTCGCTGCGGCAATGCACTAGTAGTTTAACCCAAGCCACAGGATTGTGGCCTAATCGTCTCAAAGTCAAAGCCACTGCATTGATTGATTTGTTCATTTATTTAATGGCCGTCGCTTTACTTATGGGTGTCGTGCACACATATATATTGATATATGCTCAGTTCTAGTCTAGTTTTGTGCCAACCATGTGACTCATCCATCATCAATTTCCCCCGTTTATATGTAATTGATTGATTAATATACTACTACCGCCACTCCACCTCTACTGTAATTACCTCCTTATTACTACTGTACTAGTACTATCATCTATCACGCCTGCCCAAATTGGAGTATTATCCTCCCCTGTTTTCCTTTCATTGTGATACCAATACCCTGAACCTCAGCATTGATGTTTTGCACTGCAGTAGCACGTAGATTGCTATTAGTGTTCCACCTATGTTTCCTCCTCCTCCTCCTCCTCATTATTATTATTACTATTACCCTATCTTCGGTTCCTGTGATGCAGCTTCTTTCCGTTGTCATCAGACGGAGCAAGCAGACTGGGCAATCAGAGGGTTTTGGCTTTCTCAAATTTGCTGACCATACCGCCACTGCTCAGATTCTCAAGTCTTACAATGGTCAGAAGATGCCTAACGCTGTTCGAGATTTCAAGCTCAACTGGGCCACTCAACAGCCTTCTACCGAGAAACTCCATGATCCAGATTTCAAGCTCGACCCGGCCATACAGCAGGATGCGCCTCAGAGGCACTCCGGCGACAATTCCTCTTCTGAGCATTCCATATTTGTTGGGGACTTGTCCTATGATGTCACAGAATACATGCTACACCATCTGTTCAAGACCCGCTACCCATCAGTGAAGAGCGCAAAAATTATCTTTGACAGGTTCACTGGTCGCTCAAAATGCTTTGGCTTTGTTCAGTTTGGAGATGTCAATGAGCAGACACAAGCACTGACAGAAATGAATGGAGCGTACTGTTCTACCAGGCCTATGCGGATTGGACCTGTTCCCAACAAGAAAAGTACGTACCCATATGACTATGCGGTTTAGCTTCTTTAATTTTAACTTCCTTTGTTTTCTTGAGTTGCAATGCCTCAAGCATATATCTTTGTACAGGGTTGTTCCTCTGAGTTGCTTCCCTCCAGCATTAATATATTTTTCCTGCTGTTGCATTAGGTTTGTGTGAACTTTTTTAGCCCCTAGTAAGTAGTAAAGTAAGGATTATAAGCATGCCCGTGGAGCCAGTTCACTCTACTTAGATTTCTCGTTCAAGGAGTGGTCTTTGTGTACCGCATTGTCGTTTCTGTTTCTTTTGGCTCTTCCTTGTTTCATAAAGCAACAAAATACAGTGTGTGTTGTAAAAACTTAAATTATTTGGTCACAAGGGCCTCCATGCAATGATATTCCAGGTGGAGGTTTCTCTTCCCTCCATTGACCGTAAAAAGATTGCTTAATGCTAAGACAGTACATACAGATGTTTTCGGTACACTTTTTGTAATGTTGCTGCATTGCATTGTATTAGTCTATTGCTACTTGGCTTGTGGTGCGTGAATATAAAATACAGATCAGTCAGAAATCTAGAATTATAGGATAAGATGCATTAGCATTACATTGTCCATGAGTATTGTTGGGTTAATCACAAATACTTGTTCATTCAAGATTCAGAGTAGCTAGTAACTATTATGTTAGCCTGAAGTAGCCGTCCCAATAGAACCATTTAATCAGATTTTTTTGTGATATGCAGATTTTTTCCACAACAAACAAGGGACTGAGTCTTATCATGATAACAATTCAAGGGTGAGTACATTTTTCGCTTTTTGAAAGCAGTCAGATGGAAGAACATTTAACATAAGGATGTATTTATTGCTTGCAGCTATTTGTTGGGCAACTTGACCAAAGTGTCACTTATGAAGATATGATGCAAGCCTTTCGTCCATATGGAGAGCTTATTGATGTCAAGATATTAGCAGGGAAGGGCTGTGGGTTTGTCACATACTCTAACAGGTAATCCATTTTCTGTCATCGCAATTTCAAACAGTAGATGGTGGATCTGCAGTGAACTAGCTGATCAATTTTCTCGTCATGACTTCAAGCTATATGAGAACTCTTATAATTTTTTTTTGTCACATGTGGTTCGTACACAAACCGCAACTGTAGAATTTCTGATTGCAAGAATGTAAACTTTGGCTGTGTCGTGCAACTTTTTAGCTGGCTCAGCAAAGCCCCCTCACATGTTCTAGGCAGGAGGACTGACTTACGTGTTTTAGGGCATCTGCAGAGGAAGCCATTAGAATGCTAAATGGAAGTCAACTGGGAGGTAAAGCCATAAAAATTTCATGGGGTCAACGTTCTGCTGAGAAGCAGGTAGTTTCCGTAGCTTGTTTATTTGCTACGTAGAAGCTAATTTCCATCCAAGTTGTGTTTGTTTACATGCATACTCTTCCTGCACAAATATGGGCAGGCTCAAAGGAATAGCGGCGGCTTCGGTTGGTCTCCTCAGGATCCCTATGCTTATGCTCAGACAGGCCATCCAGGATATGGATATTACCAACAGCAGCTGCCCACAGTGCAGGTAAATTTTTTTTTGTTAGAATCAGGAAGAAGTATGTCTTCAGAGATTTTAATACATTGTATTTGTTTTTGTAATAAAGTCGAGTATCAGAGATTCATTCAAGTATAATGAGTAGTACATTATATCTTTGTGCAGTGAGATCATGTGAAGAAAGATGTCAGTCACAAGGAACAGGATGTAGAGGGATTTTTGGTCGATGAAAACTGTCACTTTTTTTTTTTTTGGGAAATAGCTTCCTCCTTTGGTTGCGTTGCGGCCGCAGCTGTATCCCACGACGGGGGCCCCTGTGATGCCTGGGACGACAGTGTTGCTATTACAGACATTGAGAATTTGACCCCTTGAATGAACCTGTTGAAACAGAGGATTTGGTTTGCTTTAGTTTTGCTGTGCCATGGATATTACTGTCATGACTTGGGTTCAGACTTCAGAGCGAGTTACTTGTAACACCTGAATGAAACAAGTTGTACGTTGAGGCAGTAGACGTACTTACATATTGTTTGGTGTTTTTTTTTTCTTTTCTTTTTGCCTGCCCCGGTACTTGCATGCATATGTGCAGATGTTTCGGCTACACTGCCTTGAGAGGGCATATGTGGCACCTTGGTCTCAGCCTGCCCTGGCCCCTGGCAGCGTTCGCCTGCTTTGGTAAGAATATTGAGATGATTAAATAATTAACAGTTGCATCCATCCCTTCAATTTGGAGAATGATTTTCTAATTTTGAGAGGACAAAGAGCCTAATGCAATCTCTTTGATTAGGGGATCCCTTTAATTTGGAGGGGAATGATTTGAAAAGAGAAAGAGTCTGATGCAACCTCTTTAAAATGACTCTCCAAATGATGATTTAAAAAGAGTTTTGAAAGTGCAATCAAGCCCTAATTGTGGGTTTTGGTGATAATGACCACGTAATTAGAGAACTCATAAGATTTATCGAGATGACATGCAGGGAATTTATATTCGATGCTACACGAAACGGAGGAGCCCCCAATTACAAATGTAGATGACTTCAAACTCAAAGGAGGTTTAAATTCTTTTATATTTTGAATTTGAGTATAGGAAAAATCGTACTATAAAGGAGGACACAATGCTTAAGCTAATATGTGCTACCAAGTGCTCTAACAACCACATGCATCATCATATTCACAGCCAAGACAGTCTATATTTCACTATTACCCTTACTATCTTGCGTGGTGCGGCTGAAGAGAGGCACTGCCACACTTGAGTCGCGGCACAAGGAAGTTAGCGCCCACGCTGACTTCCCCGGATGGCTCGAGACATTAAATGGTCTCGCCCAACCCCAAGGTTGTGGGCTCCGTCTCGCCCGACCCCTTAGGTGCGGGCTCCGTCTCGTCCGGCTCCTTGGACGCAGGCTCCGTCTCGCCCGACTTCGAGGCCGCGGGCTCCGTCTCACCCGACCTCGAGGCCGTGGGCTCCGTCTCGCCCGACCCTTTGGGTACGGTGACCATTGGGGGCTAGGGTATATATACCCTTCCCCTTCCTTCTCAATGGTCATCTGCCTCTTCTTCCTCACTTGAGCACGCCCAAAACAGAGCAGGAGCTCTCTCTCTCTCTCCTCCATTGTTGACCTCAAGCCCCAAGCAAATCCATTGATTTCTCCATCAATCCTTGAGGGAAAAGGGTCCAAAACTTCGATTAAAGAGAAGCTCCATTAATTCACAACTCTAAAGAGCACTTGATTCACGTTTTGACCGGCAGTTGTGTTTGTTACTCTTGGAGCTTGGCTCCTAGCTGGCTAGAGCGTCGCCTCTGGTGCTTGCCAACTTATGTGGTAGCCCAGGAGGTTTGTAACCATCTCTTAAAGCTAGTGAACTTACCCCTCATCTCAAGAGTTAAGTCTCTTGACTTGAGAACGAGGAAGGGTTGGAAAGCTCTAAGCCTTAGTGGCTAACCTCAACAACGTGGAGGTTGGTAAGCCTTGGTGGTGAGCCGAATCACGGATAAATCATTGTGTCACTTGTGCTTGATTTACATTACTTGCATGACATATTGTGGTTGAGGTAATTTCTAGGGTTTCTAGTCAATCTACTTATGTGTGGTGTTCCTACCACTTCTAGCTCTTGATCTGTGATTGTCATTCTTGCAGTAAGCTAGAAAATTTCTCTGATCTAAGGTTTCATTCACGGTTTTAGAACTGTGATTCGAAGTTGTAGGTGCGGCAGTGCCGCCCTCTAGAGCGGTAGTGCCACTGGGTGAATTTGATAGAAGTTTGAGTGCTTGTTTTGACAGACCTATTCACCCCCTTTAGGCCAACTAGAGATCCTACAAGTGGTATCAGTGCGGGTTACCTCATATACGCTTCACCGCATGAGGTATGGAGGCCGGAGGAGGAATTGGTAGCGTGAAGAGGGTGGATGTCGACACACGGATAGCAGTGAGCTGAGCGCGTCGACAGCAAGCAACACCACACTACCACATCTTGAGGCTACCAATGCCAAAAGAGCACTCGATGATAATAAGAGAAGAAGGAAGGAGGCAAGAAAGCTAAAAAGAGAAGCAAGAGAGAAGAAGAAGGAGGAGGGCGGTTAGAGGAGAATAAGCAAAGAAAAGAAGAAAGAAGGCTTAAGAGAGAAGCAACAAGAAAAAGAAGAGAAGCTAGGAAGAAGAAGGAAGAAGAAGAGAAGGCAACAAGTGCATCATCAAGCATATCAAGTAGTTCCGAAGATGAAGATGATGATGAGTCATACCAAGTGTCGGAGGGGAACAAGAAGGAGAAAAAAGGAAAGGGAAAGGCCAACAACAATAAATATGCCGCCGTATCCTTTAACTACTCTTCTATTCCTATGACTAACCATAATCGGAGGTCTTTCATCAATGTGCCCGCAGGCAAGTTATCTCATTTCAATGGGACCAACTTTGCCAAGTGGAAGCACTTGATGAGAGCTTATCTTATAGGTCTTCACCCCAGCATTTAGGAGATTGTTTGCAATGGGTTTGAGCCACCGGTTGATCCCAAGAACTCAACACTAAAGAGATGAGAATCATTCACCTCAATGGTCAAGCCACAAGTGTGTTGCTTAGTGCCTTAGATGGTGATGAGTATAATAGGGTGATTGAAGTTGATGTTGCCAAGCAAATATGGGACACTTTGCACCTAACACATGAAGGGGTTGACAAAGTGAGAAAGACAAGAATTGACTTGTTGATGTCAAAGCTCAACCGGTTTGTAATCTTAAATGGAGAGAGGCCACAAGAGATGTTTGATAGGTTGATGACAATGGTGGGCAAGATTAGAGGCTATGGTTGCGATGAGCTAGATGATCACAAAGTTGTCAAGATTATGTTGGAAGCTTATTCATCTAGAAATAAGACCGTAGTCACTCTAATTAGAGACAAGAAGTTTGAGTACTTCATACCAAATGATGTACTTGGGAGGATCTTGACCTTTGACATGCAAAGAGAAGAAGCAAATGAGACGAAGAAACTTGGAGAATCACAAGCAAAGTTAGAGGGCATCAAGATCAAAGATGTAGCTCTCAAGGCCAACAAATCAAGCAAGCAAGGCTCTACAAGCAAGTCTAAGACCAACCAACAAGCTTCAACTAGCAAGCCCAAAGCAAGCAAGCAAGTTCAAGAAAGAGTAGAGACCACATCATCTTCAAGTGAAAATAAAAATGATGATGATCAATATGAGAAAGTTGATGATGTTGCTCTCTTTATGAAGAAGTATCATAAGGGGCTAAAGAAGTAAGGCTACAAGGTAGTGAAGAGAAGCTTTCCAAACAAGAAAAAGAGGACATGCTACAATTATGGAAGCACCGATCACTTCATTGCTAAGTGTCCATATGAGATCAAGGATAACAAATACAAGAAGGACAAGAAAGAGGAGAAGGTCAACCGTAGAAAGAGCAAGAAGTACATGGGAGAGGCTCATATTGGGCATGAATGGGACTCAACTAAAGAGAGCACAAGTGAAGAGGATGAGAAGGTTGTAACTATTGCTATTCACAAGTCATCCCCTACACCAAGGCTCTTCAACAACATGTCCGACGATGACTACTACTCCCCTCATATTTGTCTCATGGCAAAGGGTGAGAAGGTAAAATCCAAATTGAAGGCCAAATCTCCTCTACCTCCTAGTGATATCTCTAATAATGATATTAGTGATAGCTCTAGTGATGATGAATCTAGTGATGAAGAAATAAACATGATAACTAAAAATTTGGATAGAAAGATCAAATTATTCATTACTAAGCTAATGGAGGATTTAAAGAGTGTCCAATCCGAGCTAGAATCTAGAGAAGAGACTCTTAGCTAACAAGAGGATCTCTACATAGCTAGCAAAGAAGCTCTTGCATTATAGAGAAGTGAGGTGGAATCCTTGCGCAAGGCTTTGGCCAAAGAGCAAGAGGACCATGCTATCATAAAGAAAGCAAATAAAGCTCTCAAAAAAAAGTATTGTGACTTAGATGAAAAGCACAAAGAACTTGAGATGCAATATAACATTCTTTAGGATAGTAACTCACATCTCACTAAGGCAAAGGAAACCTCTACTCCTTCTACTAGTCAAGGTTATAGAAAATGTTTTAATCTTGATCTGAATGCTTATTCCATTAACCTCACAAACATTGAGGCTATGAGAAAAGAAATTGCTAGGCTCAATGAAGTCATTGGAAAAGGGTGAATAGGTAAGACCCAATCCAATAACAAGAAGAATGATGAATCAAAAGGGCCATAATTTAAGCAAGGAAGGCATCCTTCAATCAAGCATGGGCTTGGACACACAAAAGGAACCAAGACAAATGGAAGAAGGATAGTGAATGGCTATGGGTGTGTGCAGTTTGAAAAGAAGGGAAAAATTGGTACAGATAAGCCTGCACAGACCATGGCAGTGCAGCGTCCCCGAGCGACAGTGCCGCGCAGCGGCAGTGCCACGGTAAAGGGCGGCAGTGCCGCACCCCGCAAAAATGAGAAGGCTACCAATTCTGCTCCTGATCAAACTATGCCCAAGAAGAAGGTGTACCAGGAGAAACAGGTTTTCTAGAAGCCTAAGGAATCAGTGTGGGCCACCAAAAACAAGTATGCCTATCAACCGTAGACCTATGCACCTCGACAAAGTTTGACATCATGCTTTGTTTTGAGAAATAACAGTAGGGGGGAAGTGGTTGTAAAATATGTTGGAAATGAAACCAACATATATAGGAATACTTCTATTTAGGTTCCTAAGATTCTTGTGACTAACATGCAATGCCCCAAGTTAAATTGGGGACCTAAATCTAGCAACTAAACTTGTTTTGTAGGCATACTTCTTCGGTGGATCAAGTTAGGTGCTTGATAGTGGATGTACAAATCATATGACCGGAGAAAGGAGTATGTTCTCATCATATTCCCCGATGACGCACTCAAATGAAAATATTGTCTTTGGAGACAATTTAAAAGGGGATGTTATTGGTCTCGGTAAAGTTGCTATAACCCTTGAGCATTCAATTACAAATGTATTACATGTTGATTCGTTGAGTTACAATTTGTTGTCCGTTTCTCAATTGTGTGAGATAGACTACAATTATCTCTTTTTGGATAAGGGTGTGGAAGTCTTTAAAAGGGATGATTCCTCTATTGTCTTTATGGGTCAATTAAAGAACAAGCTTTACTTAGTTGATTTCAACAAAAGTAAAGCTAAGCTTGAGACTTAT